GTACAGGCAATCGAAACTTCTGGAAGCAGCACAAGGAAGGAGAAGTCTAAAGAAGTACCGCAGGGACCTTTCGACTATCGTATTCCGCTGACAACATTACTAAACGAATATGGGACTCGCACATCTTCCCAGCAGAAGATGGAATCGACCACGAGGAGATTCCACGCCAATCTCTTCCGCTCGTCAACACCCAGGTAAAATCCCGTTATTCCCACTGGAAAAATACCACCGCAATCCAGACCATGAAGGCAGCCACGGCTCCGAGACCGGACCACGTTTTGGCCGATTTCTTATGGAGGACATCGCTTACACGAGAAACTTGCGGAACATCTAACGTCTTACCTTCAAAAGGAAGGAATCCCGGACCAGTGTAGAACCGCCCCTCTCGTCCTAACCTTTATCAACTATTATGAGGAAGTGTTTGACAGCGTTGAGACTAATGCTATATTGTCAGCGCACCGTGTCGCCAATGCTGTTTACCGCCGCCTTGCAGTGGGTGATAAAATCGCTGGATTAGAATGACAGAGGTATTCAAGTTGATGGGAGATTCCTCTTAAACCTTCGTTTGACGACATTGTTCTCCTTTCGAGGAAAGCACTGAAGCGGAGACGATTGAAAGAACTGAACGATGTAGGGGAGCGGATAGGAGTGCAAATCACCAGACGAGAACTCAGTTCGTGAAGAATGCTTTGCGAGGACTAGAAAATGAAATTAGAAGACTTTCCGATTGTGGAGACAATTGCATATATCTTGATTGATTGAGCGTTGATGAACATGGAGAGTGATCTGAAACAAGAACTAAACAGGAGGCGAAGCAGCTTGGGCCACTTTCGGGCTCCTAAAGAAAGCACAGACCGACGGATCGAGAGCTTCGAGCTCACCTGTGCAATTCAACCCTTTCCTCTGCACCCTGCTATGCAACAAAAACGTAATGACAATGTGGCTACGTCGGAGGCCCTCCGAACAACCCATAGAGCATTGGAACGACGTCTAGTACAGCCGACGCTCAACATCTCGTTGAACTTTGTAGTTCAGATATGAGATCAATGCGGTCCCGCGGAATACGTCTTAAGGCAAAACATCGATGGGGATCTAATGAGAAGGACAGACGACAGATGGGACATTGAGTCTGGATTGGATCTTTCGCGATTCAAAACGTTCTCGAGCGTGACGACCGATCAGATGGACGTGTTCGTTACACGGACAGACCAGGTCAGTTCTTAGCCGGTGACGATTAATGGAATTGGAGATCGCAAAGTCGCCGCCGCAGTTCACTATCAACATCATGGATGACGCTAGCAAGAGACAGACGGATAGAAATAATGCTGGGGTCTGCACGGCCAACGAAGATAGGCCATTTATTTTTCTAATTAAGTATATCTATGGGTCTTTGATGCAGAGGCAAACATAGTAGCGCTAGATAATAATATTTTCTTACTGTTCTTCAAGTTGAATGATTTGTGTCATTCCTACATATGAGCCCAACGA